ATATGAGCGATTTAGAGAGTTTATATAAAGTATGCTAAATAGTTAATTGTTTAAGCTCAGAGTTATGATAGTTGATAAAAATAGTTGATAAAATTGTTGATAAAAATAGTTGATAAAATCTAAATACTTGACTGTGGTAACTAAACGGTTGATAAAAATAATTGATAGTTGATAAAAAATTTTTTATCAACTTGATATGAATAAATAGTTGATAATTGATAGAAATTCTTATCAAATTGATAGTATATAAAAATATTTGATGGAAATTTTTATCAACTTGATAGTTGATGAAAATAGTTGATAGTTGGTAAAAAGTATAATAAATAGTTGATGTTTATAAAAAGTATGCTAATAATGTTTAAGCTAAGATTATAAATAGTTGATAAAAATAGTTGATAGTTGATAAAAATTTTTATCAACGTTGATTAAAATAGTTGATAAAACTAGCTGTTATAAATTTTTTATCCACTTGCTAGTTGACAAAAATAGTTTATATTTAAGATTGAATTAGCTTCTGTTGATAATCTTGAAAACAATTCGATTATTTACATTAATTTCCAAAATAATAAAACAACATTTACAAAAATACTACAGAAAGATGAAGAATACTTTCATACAATGATTAATTTAATTAAACGTCCTGTTCGTTTTCTGAAGTTTGTATTTGGAACTAGAGGTTTTAAAAACAAAATATTAACGATAAAATGCAAGGGCGAGAGAAATAATGATAATAACATTATTGAGATTAATGTTGAACCTAAAAATAAGAAAACTAGTAATGTACCAATTTATTATGAATCGCACATTGTTAAAACAAAAATATGTCCAGATGATAAATACGAAGTTAGAATTGGATCAATTGAAGAAAAATACTACAATGTAACGTCCAATCTTTATAAAGAAAGAGTTTGCAAAAGCTTAGCCACCGGGCAGGATTCGAACCTGCGACCACCTTCTAGTTGTTGCTAGGCGCTTTCGCTCACTATATGCAGGAGCTCTACCTCTGAGCTACCGGGGCAACGACTAATGCTTTCTCTTTTTCCTTTTTAGATCGTTTAACCCCCGCCTAAGCGTTTTAAATTCTGCTGGGTGAATCATCCTTACAATAAGCGTCCAATAATTGTTTACTAGGTTAATGTGGTGAAATATATTGGCCATGCTTAATACAAAACACCCCTCACTACTTAATTACTCAGTTAGTAATCTCCCCTAAACATCAAATATTCAGTATACCTACCCGTACACTCGTTTTGTTTTGTATAAGAACTTGTTTTTGTTTCGTTTCATTCTAAAAAATTTTGAGTTTAGTGTAGAATAATATCTACCCCTACTTAAGGATTCAATATAGGGTAACTTTAATTTAGATCTTTGTAGCTGTATAGATAAGAATTTAAAATTACACAATTTAGCACCCAAGTAATGATTATCTCAATATGGAATGTGATTTGGCCATTTTTGAAAATGATTATTTGAACAAATATTTGCTTTCTAAAAGTATAGGCAATGATGATAAAAGAGTAACTTGTAAATTGGATAAAGGTGTATCTGTAAAGATCAACAACCCATATAATTATATCAATAAATTAAGCGAAATTGAAAGAAATGCTGAAGAAAGGATTAATTTAGCTATGAAAAAGGGCAAAAATGTAGGTATGGCAGCTGGTTCTACAAATTATCGTGGAATAAAAATTGGCGAAAATAAAGCTGTACAGCATAGAGGAAAAGCTCCGTCAGGGCATTTTAATCGAATTCAAAATGTCCAAAACAAAGGGAAAGGTAAAATGATAGAATCTGACGATGAAACTCCAAATATTAATGAGAAAAATGAAAACCCTGCAGCTGATACGGAAAATTTTTGGAACACTTTTGGAACTAAACATTCAAATGAATATTTAGGTGAGCATAAAAAATTGATTGAAATTAATATAAATTAACAAAAATAATCATAAATAAAAATTTGCGTAGATAAAGGGAGATCCAACTGATCTTCAGATCACATTCAGGTCTGCTCGCTGCTAAATGTTTAGCTATGTTTTCTCAAGCATTATCATTAGGGCTGCCGGCCAGGCTCGTTTCGTGCCGAAGGATCGAATCGGGCTTGATTTTTGGCCCTAAAAAGCTCGATTTGCCCGTTTCGATAAAATTGAGGCCCGATTCGAAAGAATTGATAATAATAATATACAAAAATGGCAGAAATCTGGATTATTTGCCTCCCATGCGGCTCAAAAAAATTAAAGAAATAGCTTTAGTAATTTATAAAAATTAATTATAAATTAACAAAAATAATCTAGAAATAGAATCTAATGTAGAAATGGAAGATCAGCCAGATCTCGAGGTTAAGCTATCTTGCGGTTAAACTTTAATTATCTCTTCTATCAGAATTTAAAGTGTAATCGTAATACAATAAGGAATAGCCTTTAACTCTTTATAATAATTCAAAAATGCTAGACAACAATTTATGCCTAAAATTCAATCATATTAATGGTTCATTGGTAAATGAAAAGAATATTACTATATAAGAAAATCACTTAATTGAAAATAAATTTCGATTTCAAAATTTATAAAAAATTTATTAATATGCAGAGCATGTAGTACAACCTTTTCTGCCTACACCTCAATATACTCAACAAACTCAAATGTATCCGGAAAATTATCAAAGTAATCCCCAATATTATCAACCTAATCCTCAATATCATCAACTTGCTCCATATTATCCCCAATATCATCAACCTCATTCACATCATGGGAATGATAAACATGATGGAGGTATTTAAGACAATTATACTGAAAACTATCGAAATATCTTAATAGTATCCTCGGTTTTTGTTTTTTGGACTCAATAACTAAAAGTTTATGTCATGGACCTACAAGTATTTATTTTGTAGCGCTAATTCAATATGACTAGAGCTGGAAACGGGATTTAGAATAGGGATTCGTTGTGTGTCAGTACAAGAAAAGATTAATTAAGATATGAATGACCAATATTTAATTAAATTTGATTTTTCAAAATTTATAAAAAATTTATTAATTAATAAACAGGAGATGCAGGTATCCCTTTTCTGAATATTCCACAATACAATCAGCCTATTCCACATTATCACCAGCATGGAAATGATTCACATTCTGTAAATCCACATCCTAATCCTCAACATGGAAGTGATGGGCGCAAAGGAGGTATTTTAATCTAAATATATTAAAAATTACCGTAAATATCTTAAAAGAAGATTCGACTTTTATTTTTTTTTGGGTTTCATTAAATAGAATGTAAGAAAAAGGGAAATCTATATAAAGTACCTTTGTGAGGGTATTCTCGATGATATTCATAAAATAAAATTTGTAGATAACTAAATTGATGCAGAAAACGAATACAGATGCTAAATTTGAAGAAGGATGTAAAATATGCACCTGAAGTGTATGCCGCACGAAACAATTTTTGATATTTTTATTCTGAAAGATTTTGCATTAACGAGTCAAAATCTATTATCGGGCTTTTATTGGGCATTTTTAACTTTATTTTTAATTAGTATAATTTTATATAACCGAATTTCCCTCACTGTTCTCTCACTTCGCACCTTCTCTTCCTTCACCCAACACATGTAAGATTTTATAGTTAATTCGACACTACTTGGGAGACGGATCGGATTATTTCAGAAATGTTGAAAGTGCTTTGATCAGATTAAAACTGTAGGTAGTTACCCATCTAAATTCTAGCCTAAAGATTTAAAAAACATGTGTGGGTGAAGGCATTTGTAGCTATTTTTAAAGCATTTAACACATTTATTTATGATATTTCTCCCTGGAAAACATTGTTCCCTTCACAATTCAGTAGTATTTAGAAAAACTCTCGATTATATTGATGAAATTTATTCAAATTATTACCATAGTTGGACCTCACAAAGTGAGAATTATGCATTACAAATTCATTACAATAACAAAAAAATTTTCAGACCGAAAAGTGACATACGTGTGAGGTCCGACAATTCAATTTTTTTAAATTTTTATTTAAATTAGACATTGATAAAGTAGTTAAATGAGAAAAGTTAATTATAGAATACTAAACTTTCTTCACATCTTCTAATATTTTAAATTAATTAAGACGTTTATTGAACTAATTTTTATTGTTCTAAATAAAGGATCTTCCGTTGCATGCCTACGGAAGATTTTGGCCTGGAAAAAACACCCATCTCTGATGTATTTTTACAATCCTATTAATTTTCCTTTCTTGCTCGATTCTGAACAATGCTCGAAGGTAGAGCCTGAAAGATTTGAAAAGATTAGGAGCTGGAGCTACAAAATGTCTTGACAATCAACGTCTATATTCGATTTTGAAATTTATCCTATTTCAAAATTTTTTGCCCTCAACATGCCCTTGTTGTTTACAATTTTTCTCTCGCTTTTCCTTTCAATCACCACTTTAAAAAATATTTATTTAGACTCCCGAAAAATTTAATAAATCTGCACTTTAAGGACAAATAAACAAGATTGATTGACTAGACAGGGAATTCATTTACTGATTTCTTAATTCGTCTAACATTTTAAAGTCTTTAGCTATTCATCACTCTTATTAATTTTTATTTTATTAATTTATAAACAAGGCTTTAATTAAAATTTTAGGATTTTTAATATTTAAATATTAATAACTTACCGTATTTATTCTAATAGATGGCCCCTCCAATTGAATGGCCACTCCATTCTATCCCCCCCCTTAGGGGTAATTAAGAATTATTTTAAGGACTATAATTTTAATGACTATAATTAATGTGCCGATTATGTTTCAATCTCTTGCTTCCGAGTGTTTAAAGGGTCTTTGATCTTGTGTTTGTCTCTATCGAATTAAAATTATCGTTGATTCTCTTGCCTCAGAATGTTTATGGGGTCCTGGATTTGGTGTGTCTCTCTATCGAATTAAATTCGTTAACGGCAAGGTCTGAGGCCGAAAGTCTGGAAGTAGATTTTTATTAAGATTTGTTTTAAGCCTTATATATAGAATTTATTTTAGAATGTATTTATTTTCAATATTTATATTCTTAAACATATTCTACAATGTAACAACGTTGTCAATTTTTGTGAAGATTTCATGGCGAGGAAATCATATTGAAGACGAAAAAATTTTGGCCTCGAAAAACACCCACCGATTCAACGTGGAATTGACTAATGATAAATGGGATCTACCCACGGAAGGAGAAACAGATAAATATGACACTTTTCACTTTGAGGAGGGTGAAGAAAATAATGCCGAAAATTTGGAAAAATACAGCTTGAAGGTGTACAAAGTTTTAAATGAAGATGTTAGTAAATTTATATTTTCTTAAAATTCAGTTTAAACTAAGAGTTTGGAAATTCTTATAAATTGGAGGATTCTCCATTTATTATTTTTAATACCTGTATTTATCCATAGCTAGAAGCTCTTTCCAAAGACAAACCAAATTTGGCATAAAGGAAAAGACTTTGAGAAGAGTTGGGTGCGGGTATAAGGGGATATATATCTATTGATAATAGGTAGGGATCGGATTTATATTGAAATAAAATCGGAAAATATGGCCATAAAATATTAAAATAAAGTGGCAAAATATTGACAAAAAATGGAAAAAACTAGCTAAGTATTGAAATAAATTATCGTTTATTCACTAGAAAACCTCCCAAAAAAGTTGAAATTTAACAAAAAAAAATAACCACGTTTTTAAAATCGACTTTATAGCTCGACAAATCGGGTATTTTTACTCTCATGGACATTTTTTGATTGATAAAATGAGGATGGGACATTTTGTGGGTTTTCTCAATGTGGCATTTCGGGTCTTGTCCTGTGGGACATTTTAAGGGCGAAGCATTTTGGAATGGGCCTTTATGGGGACCTTTGGTCATTTACACATTTTGACAGCACTGTAGGCCATATATATCCCTAAAATTTATGAAAAATCCCAAAATTTTGTAGAAATATGCAAAAATATTGAAATAATTTGAAAAAAGCGCGAAATATTGAAATAACGGGGAAATTGGCAAAATATTGAAATATATTGAAATGTAACTTTGTTCAAAATCATGATATCGAAAAACTAATGGCATATTTGAGCTTTTCTCGTCATAATATATTCAGGAATAAAAAATATATTTCAATACAAATCCGATCCCTAATAATAGGGGTTATATATCTATGTATTGTTAATGTTGATGACAATTCATTACGGATCGTAAGGGGTACCCTACAATCCATAGAGGTACCCTACGGATCGAAAGAGGAAGGATGTTACAATGGAAGGTGATTAAGTCTGTTACAATGGAAGGTGATTAAGTCGAAGAAGTTAAACCCTTACCCTTAGATGTCTTTATATTTCTTATTCTGAGATTCAAGCCTTAGGTTCTTGATTCTTCTCATGCTCCCCTACTGATATCTATGATCCTCAGGATCTTCCAAATTTCCAATAAATAACTTGCTAACTTTTAGTTAATCACTGAAATTGTTTCTATTGATAATGTTGAAGACAATTCATTAATTTACATTAAATACGAAGGCAGAAACAAAACAAGCTACACAAAAATATTAAAAAAAGATGAAGAATACTTCAATACAATAATTAATTTAATTAAACGCCCTGTTAGATTCATTCAATTTAATTTTAAAACTAAAGCTTTTATAGAAGGAGTTGTAACTATAAAATGCAAAAATGATGACAATAATGACAATGATAAAATTGTTGAAATTAACATTCCTGAAAGGGAAAAAACTAATAAAGTTGCTGCGCATCATTCACAAATAGTTAAAGCAAGAGTGTGCCCAGATGATAAATACGACTTTACAATTAAAAAGAATGTCGCGCCAAAAGCTAAAGTAAAATTTATAATCAGTGCTCGGAAATTCTGATATGCTAGTACTCGTACTTCGTATCATCCCTACTTTTATCTTGTACTCGTAACTAGTCCAGCACTATTTTTACAGGGGACGAGTAGGAATTTTGTATGAGCCTCGAAGTACTGATTACAATTGCTGTCAGTTTATGATTGTTTAAAAACAAGTGCCTGATTTGTCTAGTTGGATCATTCCACCCTGACTGTCCCTGATCTTCTTCGATTTATTCCATCCAATCCCCTATCACCACATTGCTACATTCTACTTGGGATAAACTTTTATTCTTGTACCCGTAAAATTTGCAAATCTCGGGTAACCCTCGAAAATAACAAAAATAGCCTTATATTATATTCATTTCCTCCTCCCATCCTTCCCATCATGAATATTATAAAGTCTTATCTTATATTCATTCGCTTCTCCTATCCAATACATACAGTATATGTATACCCATCATGAATATAATAAAAATAATTTAAATTTGAAACTTTAGCAATACGAACTCAGAGAATTTACATTAGAGTGTCAACAGGCTATAAACGAAAATAATAATTTAAATATATACGAGTTTAATGTACTGAATAAAGATAAAAAAGGAAAACGTAAAACAAAAATAACAAAAACTGAGTGCTTGTTAGATAAAAGTAAATTTGTAATGATAGATGAATCAAAGGGGGATTTCATTAATCTTTTAAGCGAAAATGAAAAAATTGCCGAAGAAAAGCTTAGGGAATATATTGGTGAAGCAAAGACATTTGATGGTGATTATGAATTATATTTTCGATTAATATTTGTTAGGAGGGTGGGAGAGTTGATACTGGTTCCGTAGCAAATTTAAAACCTAGATGATCGGGTTTTAATTAAAAATTTTCTGAAAGTTAAATGTTGAAGATCAAGCGTTCCTACTTATTTTGTGTCCTTAAACTGATAGAAAAGAAGCATTGAATAAGCAACTAGCAGGGGTTTAAGATACTTCAAAAGAAAAGGTGAACAGGCTCCGGCGGGGTGTCTTCAAAGCACTTATACATGGTGAACGAACGCATCGGGCACTAAATCACATTAATATGTATCCAAAAATCTTTTTATTACATCTTCGTAAATTTAGTTAAAGAAGAAGGAAAAGGCAAGAATGTAGTTATGACTCCATTAAAAATTAGCGAAAATGAACTTGAACCGCAAGTAAAAAATTTACAGTCAGGTCATATTAATCAAAATCAGGATGATCAAAGCAAGGGGAAGGGTAAAGAACCAATTATAATAGAATCGGACGAGGAAATGGAATATACTCCAAAGATTAATGAAAAAAATGAAGATGATAAAACGGATAAAGAATATTTGGAAATTATTCCTGAACCATCTGGAATTATAAATTTAGATGAATATCTTGGTAAGCCTTTGACGGAAACAATAGAAATTAACGAAGATGAACACGAAATGCACAACGAAGAACTTCAGTCAGGTCTTAATGATCAAAAGCATGATGATCAAAGCAAAGGGAAGGGTAAAATTAATGAGGAAGTTGAAAGTCCTAAAACTTATGCAGGCCAGTTGGAGAATTTGCGTAAAATTCTTGAAATTAAGAATTCAAAGGATTTAGGCAAGCTAACGAAATTTACTGAAGATTATCCAAAAACCAACTGTATAGTCTTTAAACTAGTATAGTCTTTAAACTAGATTAAAAGTGAGAGAGAGTTGCAACCTTCAATGGGTATCAGGCCCGTAGCCATGGGGGGTAGGGGGGGGGGACGGCCTTCTAAAATTCTAAAAATTTTCGCCTGCGGTTCTATAAATCAAAATTTTCACCCCTTGGCCCCCACCCCCGAAAAAATCTTGGCTACGAGCCTGATGGGTATATGTTAGCATAAGTACTACGAGGTACGAGGTCCTATTCATGATTTAATTAAATAATGAAAGTAGTTAATTTAGTATCTAAAAAAAATTCTGGTTATTTCTTCCTAAATTTAGCTAAAGAAAAAGGCAAAAATGTCGTTATGGCTCCATTAATAATTAAACAAAATGAACATGAACCACGTAAAGAAGGAATTCTATTAGGACATGCTAATCAAAAGCAAAATGATCAAAGCAAGGGGAAAGATAAAATTATTGAAAAAACTGAAGGTCCTAAAACTTATCGAGAAATCATGGAGGATCTTCATAAAACTTTTGGGATTAAGCATTCAAACGAATATTTAGGCAAGTTTATTTAAATTTAAAAAATAAATTATAAAGCAACAAAATAATTTTTTAAAATATAAGTAGTTTATTTTTATTGTCACAAGGTAAAATAGGAGATTGAGATTCAAGGTATAAGAGATTCGGGAATGATACCAAGGGGGACTTAAAAAGGCTTTTAACTGTCTTGAAAGCTTTTAAACTATATTTTATTTTAAGCAGCACTAAATATAAACTAAAATATGTCGGTTTTATGGTCGAGATATCATAAACTAACAATATAGGTTTGTAACTAGAACCTTGATTACCTATTACAGTAAATTGCAATCTGCAAGTATCCTTTTCCTGATATAAATCGCTACCAGCTCATATCGTAATAGAAGTGTGTATCGTAATTCTGTCAAAGGATCTGAATCATTTTGTACCGCTAACGGTATTAAAGAATATCGAAGAGGGAGAGCAAATGAGAGAGAAGTTAAGATTACGATTCTTCTTTAATTTTTGATTTTTATTTAATTTTCAAATTTCTGCGGATTTTGATAGCGTACAACTTTATGTCCTTTAGTTAACTTTAAGATTACTATTTAAAAATATAATTAAAATTTAAAAATTAAAATTTATTAATAGAAGATGCAGTACTTCAATTTTTACCAAAAAAGGACGATTTGCATCATCAAAAACCTAATTCAATTCTTGGGAAGCATAAACGTGATGAGGATTATTAAAAAAATTTTCAATTAAAAATTAAATTTATAAAGAAAGATGAAATATATTTAGAAAGATATCTATTTTTGAAACGTTTCTGGAATTTAAATTTTTTGAAATTTAGAATTTGATAAATTTTTATATAAAACTTAAACTTTTTTGGCATATTTCTAGCCCTTAATAATTTTTTATAATAATTGAATGATTATTAACATTAAGACAAAAATGAAAAGATTCCTGAGCAGGAGTCTATCGAAATTCCGATTTCCGAAATTTTCTAAAAATTTCCATAATTTTCAACCTTTTAATCACATATACCTCCAACGGCTCCCAAAAAGCTAGCTTCTAGGTCAAATTTTTAACTGACAGGCACAGAAAAACTTTGAAAACCTTTTAATCCAGCTACGATGTATTAAGAGGGATGTGGAGTTATTAATATGGGTTAAGTGGGATCTCGATGGATTAATCCTCAGCTATCCGTGATATTCATCCAAATCCTCTGATTTCACACTCAAATCTTTCAAATAACTAATCATCGATATCACTTCAAATCACTGATATCAATTAAAACCGTCAACTCCCCTTAATCCGTCAAATCCCCCTAACCCTTATATCGGATTGCGTATTGCGTGAAATTGCTGATTTTTGGACTTGCAGACTGCGGATTGCGGCTGCGAAAAATATGCTTTACAGTTGCGCCCAGCCCTGCTTCGAGATCTCTAATAATATAATGGGAATATTTACTAGAATTAATGGTGAAAGGTTTTAAAAAAGTTTTAAAAGTTTTTAAAAGAGAAAAGTTTATAATTAGTTGATTTAATATACAATAGTTGTTTCAAAAAAATAAATCTTCGAAAATCGCGTCCCGGAAATAATTTCAACATCTTAGAAAATAAAAAAAATCCCAATGAAAATCGAAATTTCGAATAAACTATTATATATACAGGCCAAGTTATACGATGACTGGATTTGATTTTTTATTTTGTACCCTTCTTTTTTAACCCTTTCTTTCATCACCCCTCCTCATAAGCTTTAAATTTTTAGCAAAATATATACCCGACATTTTAAGAAATTTGTCTTATACCTATTGGCTGAATAGCTAAGTGAAATTCATCGTTTCTCTTCTTAAATAGGCATTAATTGTATATTCGCCATTCATTTATTTAATTTTTTTATTTTGTTTTATACCTTTTAAAATTTATAATGACCCTCTATTAAATAAAGTGACCGGCTATTATTTTGTTTATTTTTAGAATGTTTTTATTTTCAATATTTATATTCTTAAACATAATTTACAACGTAACAACGTTGTCCATTCTTGTGAAGATTTCATGGGGAGAAACTGGACATTACGGGTTAAAAAATTTGGCCCAGAAAGGCACTCCCCGTTTCTTCTTGGTATTGACCAGCGATAACTGGTATCAATCCAAAGAAGGAGTCACAGATAAATACGGCACTTTTCATTTTGTGGAGTTAGAAGGAAATAATTCTGAAGAAGTGGAAAAATACTCATTGAAAATTTTTAATGAAAATGTTTGTTTGACCTTTTAAATAAATCAAAATAGGATCTGTGGATATATCTGTGGATATATTTGGGGTTTGTCCGAGTGTTGCCGATGTTTCAAGCTCATGGTTAACAGGTTATCCAAATTAGAAACAATGGGCCTTAATCAAATAATTTTATAAGTGTCACGTTTGATATTGGTGGAATTAAGAGCTTTCGAAGAGATATCGGGGAATTTAGGCGGAATCATAGATTTGGGTGCACCTTGGTATCAGTGGATTAATGTGGATTCATTTTATCTCAGTAGCTCTCATAATCACAAAATATATAAATCTCTCAATATCTCCAATAACCCTCTTAATTTTAATTACTCTATAACAGGATTGGGCTCCTTAATCCACCAAATTACCCAAATATAGCATTTAGCACTCAAATTCCTCAATATTTTTACGCTGAGTTCCGATATCCTAGTGCCGACATTTGAGCCACATCAATATAGAGAACCTTCCAATTTATATAGTTTATTATTTAGTTTAATAATGAGATAGCTTCTGTTGATAATGTTGAGGATAATACAATAATCCTCATTAACTACAAAAATAAAAACAAAACAAACATCACGAAAATATCAAATGGGGATAAATTTTTTGATAATATTATTAGTTTAATTAAACGCCCTGTTCGCTTTCTGCAGTTTAAATTTGGAACTAGGGGTTTAGTGAAAAGGAGATTATCTATAAAATGCAATGACGAGAGCAATAATGAAAAGATTGTTGAATTTGATGTTAACCCTCATATTACTACGAAATCTCCCACTGTAGATGCTTATTATGAATCGCCCATTGTTAAAACAAAAATATGTCCAGACGATAAATACGCTATTAACATTGAAAGGATTGGAGCAAAAGTAGGTGTTACATTAAGGTTTTTTCAATTACTTGATTAATAGTGAAATACTAAGCGTTGCTACATTATAGATGCATCTCTCATTACTAGCAGAGGTGGGTCGGAATTCCGATTTCCGACGTACTTTTCCTTCCGATTTCCGAGTTCCGACTTTTGAGCCAGTTCCGATTTCCGGCTCTTCCGATTTCCGACACCTCTGACTGTTCCGACCCACCTCTGATTACTAGTTCCATCTCTATTTAAGGCATATATTTCTAGATATGATGGCTAATGAAGGTGTTATTTCCAAGTTTTTTCCATGTCAACCGAGATTCTCATAGTCGACTTTTCTCCTTGTCTAAGAGCAAATGAATAAACTTTATCAAAAATAAAAAATAAATGTAGTCCAAGTATAATGATTAAGTTGTCGATTTTCGAAGATTTTTTTGTTTCGGAACAACTCTGATAGTGATACGACTAGACAAAATTCTTGAGATTTGCCTAAGCGATACCTACTCCAATTTATCGGATATGTAATTTTAGAGCGATTTTTAAGCCACAATAGAGTAACTTTATTTTTAAAATAAAAAAAATTTAGCACCCCCTTAACTTCTATCGCACGATGGCATGTGATCAGGCTATATTTGAAAATAATTATTTAAACGAATATTTGCTTGTTCAACATAAAGATCAACGTGTAACTTGTACATTAACTAGAAGTGTATATGTAGAGATCAACAACACACATAAATATATCAGTAAATTAAACGAACTTGAAATACAGGCTGAAGAAAGAATTAATTTAGCTATGGGAAAAGGTAAAAATGTCGTTGTGACACCTGATTTCAGAAATTATGGTGGAATAAAAATTGGTGAAAATAAAGATGAACATCAAAGAGGAAAAATTTCGTCAGGACATGTTAATCAAATTCAAGATGATCGAAGCAAAGGGAAGGGTAAAATGATAGAATCGGACGACGAAATGGAATATGATATTCCAAATATTAATGAGGAAACTGAAAGTTTTGAACATTATCATCATGATTGGGAAAATTTTGATAAAATTTTTATGCCAAAAGAAACCACAAATGAATTTATTGGTAAGCATTTGAAATTTATTGAAAATTAATTATTAATGTGCTATCCGATTATCGCGCCATTTTTCTTTCTTCTGCGTTAGTCATTTTCTAGTTTAGAGAATTGAATAACGGCCATTACGGTTAATGAGATCATGGCGTTAAGTACCAGACTATTACTTTTTAGTATCTGGTACGGTAGAGTGCGCACGAATCATAACTTCGGATGAACACGAAATTTTTCTCTTATTTTTCATGAGGCATAATAATATGGAAAAGCAGCTGGTAGCTCGATATTCTGATGCCTGTAAGTGGTGAGGCATTAGAATATAAATTTTGTTCTTAAAATAGTTTAAAAAATTTCTTAAATAATAAACAGGAGATGCAGTAATCCCTTTTCTCAATAATCCGCAAAATCAGCAAACTGCTCCCCAATATAATCAACCAGGTTCGCATGATCCTTACAATCAACAACCAGGTTCATATGATCATTACCATCATCAACCTAATCCTCAATATCATCAACATAATTCACAATTTTATCAACATACTCCACAGTATCCCCAATATATTCAGCCTGATCCACATGATCCTTACAATCAACATCCTCCTCAATATCAGCAACATACTCCCCAGCATGATCAACCTATTCAAGATTATTCCCATTTTTATCAACCAAATTTTCAGTATCATCAAACTAATCCACATCCTGGAAATGATGAACACGATGGAGGTTTTTGAAAATATGATAAAAATTAGCTTAAATATCGGAATAGTGCCCTGGGATTATACTTTAGGGTCTCATTGTGAGGGCTTTACCCTTATAATGATATAACATGTAGGGGGCTTTAGTGAGGGCTTTACCCCTATTAGTGACCGCTTTAGCCTTATAAGGATATACGATGAATATTCATAAAATATATTTTATAGATAACTAATTGGGGCAAACTGATGAAAATGGAAGAAGGATTCAAAGACAAGTATAAACACCTGAAGAGTGCACATTTATCAAACGATTTTTGATATTTCTATTCTGAAATATTTTGCTTTTCCTGTCAAAATCTATTGGGCTTTTATTGGGCATTTTTTAAAAATTTTAATTTGTTAGAATTTTTGATAACAGAATTTCCTGAAACTGTTGCTGTTCTCCATCCTCTCTCCTCATTCCTCCACCACCAGCATATGTAATATTTTCTAGTTTTTCACCCAATAGGCGAGGAAAGTCTTCTGAAATTTTTCTGGAAAGTTTAAAGTGCTTGTATTTATTTATAAGTTTAAAACGGATGGAAGTAACACTTTTAAATTTAAATCAAAAGATTATAAAACATGTGTTGGTGACGGGTATAGTAACTATTTTTAAAGTATTTAACCATCTATTTAGTATATTTCATCCTAAAGATTCAGTAATTTTGGTAATAGTTTGGAATTCGCCCCCCCTTTTTTCACTGTTTCCCTGACCATTTTGAGCTTTTTTGTTTGATACATAATTTATCATATATCATTCGAAAGAGCTCTTCGAGCGTGGTCGAATGATACCATGATTGGCCAGATCTGATCAATCTTACCAAAATCATGAAGCCAAATCCTAGTTTGGGCAAACTTTTTGTGTCTATGCAAGGGGATAAAATAAACGGACACAACTTTGTTCACTTAAGTCGGATTTCGTTGATCTTAACGTCATTCGACTCAGCTTGAAGAGCTCTTTCGAATGATATATAATTAGCCATAAAATGAAAAAAAAACTTAGAAAAAATAGAAAGGAAAAAAAGGGGGGGCGAATTGCAAACTATTACCGTAATTTTTTTAGTAAAACCCTCGATTATATTGATAAAATTTATTAAAATTATTACTAAAGTTGGACCTCACAAAGTTAAAATGATACATTCTTACAAATTCACTAAGAATAACATAAAAAATTACCAACCTAAAGGCGACATAATGTGAGGTCCAACATATTTTGAAATTTTTTAAATTTAGCTAGATATCCATTGTGATAAAGTATTTAAATAGCAAAGATAATTATAGAATGCAAGAGGTCTTTAGTATTTCAAATTTTTTAGATTATTAAGATAGTATTTTACTCAGTTTTATTGTTTTACATAAAAGCTCTTAAGTTGTATGCCTCCAAATTACCTGCCCTCTCTTGGAAACACCCTCCATTTTTATTAATTATCACCTTTATAGCACGGTCGAAAGATAATCGGAGCCAAACCTGGAGTCGGCAAGATTTGAAAATGTCTGGGGCCGGATCCACAAAATGTCAATCCACAGAGACTTGGTTGGTTGTTCACATTTGTTCATCTTTCAAAATTTTTTGCCCTCAACATGCCCTTTTTCCTGTCTAATATTTTTCTCTCGCTTTGCCCTTTTATCCTCAATCATAAAAATGAAAAAAAATATTTACTTAGACTCCCGACAAATTTAAGAAATCTGCACTTTATAGACAAATAAACAAGACTGATGAATAGGCAAGTGAATTTATTTAAAATTTCTTAATTCGTCTAACGTTTTAAAATTTGAGCATTCATCACCCTTATTAAGTTATATTTTATCAATTTATAAATAAATAACTTCAATATTAATTCAAAATTTTAGGATTTTTAAAATTAATTTTAATATTTTAATAAATGTATAGGGATAGAATTTACCATGATTTAATTATTAGTGTGAGTGATTATTGCCTAAATATCTCGCTGGAGTGCATAACTAATAGAGAGGTGGTCTGGATTTATCATGAATCTCAATGGAATTGAGTTATTCTTGGAGAGGATTGAGACAGAGGTTCTGAGACCAAGGCTTGATCGATCCAAGACATTGATGGGAAAATTGGCTAGCCCTAATAATATTAACTCTAATAATTTCATAACCCTAATAATATTAATGTTGACTAATTTTTTAGAAACAGACACTATTTCATTTGAATAACCTAAAAACTTTCGGGGCAGGATCCGTCAACCCTAATTCCGACAAATGCTAGACAATATAAATTAATGAAATGAAAAACGCTATGGAATCCACCCCCAAATCTGATAAGAAAAAATCGGAATTTCTGATACATTGCTTAAAATAAGCAATTTCAAAATCAGCAATTTCAACCTCATACACATTTTTTATTTTAGAATGTATTTATTTTTATTATTTATATTCTTAAACATATTTTACAATGTAACGGCTTTGTCTGTTCACGTGAAAATTTCATGGCGAGATAATCCTAAAGGATTACAAATTTTGGCTAATAAAACTAGACACCGATTCAAAGTGGAATTGACTAGTAATAAATGGGAACTTCCTAAAGAAGGAGTGACAGATAAATATGATACTTTTCATTTTGAAGAGATTGAAGGAAATAATGATGAAAATTTGGGAAAATACAGCTTGAAAGTTTACAAAGTTTTGAATAAAAATGTTTGTAAATTTGTATTATAATTTGTATAGGGTAAACACAGGGGAAAAACTCCATATCAGAAAACGGAAGATGATTAGGAAACAGCTATACTGGTGCTTTCCTATTAAATCCTTATGAAGATCGACACATGTCATGTTTTTTCTTCTAAGATTCAAAAGCAATCAGTTTTCGATATTGTACATGTCCACTTACCGATCTGGGGGGGGGGGGGGTTGGGGTCATAAGGGCGCGGGGCCATTAGGGCGCCAGCACTAGAAACCGATACTTAGGCGAAACCGAAATTTATGAAAATTTTAACAAATTTCTTTAACATCATTGACTACCTCCTCCAGAAATTTCAGAATTTTTCATCGAATATTTCTGAAGTTATAATCAATAAACCGCGAAAAATTAGGGTTTTTTCGGAAAATCAACATTTTTGGCCACAATTTCCGAAATTCTTGATCAAAAATTCTGAAATTTTTGGAGAACGTAGATAAAGGAATGAGAGTTATTATTGCAAAATTTTATCTTTTTTGATAAGCAACTCACTGTTTTATAAGCTCGCGCCCTAATGGCCCCGCGCCCTAATGGCCAAGTCCCATCTGGGGGAGCCTCACGACCTCCGAATTTTCAATAAATTGTTATCATTTAGCTTTCCAATGAAATTGCTTCTATTGATAATGTTGAAGACAATTCGTTAATTTACATTAAATACGAAGACAAAAGCAAAATACTCTACACAAAAATATTGAAAAAAGATGAAGAATACTTCGATACCATAATTAATTTGATTAAGCGCTCTGTTCGTTTTCTCCAATTTATTTTTAAAACTGATGGTTCCAAAGAAAAAATTGTAACAATAAAATGCAAAAACGAGAATGATGATAATAAAATTGTAGAAATTTTCATCCCAGAAAGGGAGAAAAGCAGTAAATCAGCATATTACAATTCACAAATTGTTAAAACAAAAATGTGCCCAAATGATTTATACGACTTTGTAATTGATAACAAAAACACAAAAGCTAAAGTAAAGTTTTAAATTAATGAGTATTGTAAAGAATGATACACCTAGGATGATTTCAAACGATAGGCGCAGGTTACTATCTACTAGGAGAGGACGATATCACACAAAACTAGCAGATATTAGATAAACTGACATATTGTACCTTAACTACGATTTTTTGGATTTAAATTTCCAATTGAAAATTTGTTCGTGGCTCATGGCTATTGAGCTGACATAAGTAATGCATGGTGTAATTCTGTATTTCTGTGAAGATGGACTCTGTGCTAATCCTACATAGTATTTGCTAATTAGGAGATTGCTAATGCCGCAGAAATAACCCAATAATAGATAATCCATTATAGGGTTAGATTATGGCTAATCAGCTCTGCTCCATCCTAGGCCCATTCCATATTGGTTCAATAACATCTCCCATTCAAAAATTCTTTCACAGCTGAGGATAATACCATCTTATATAAAATATATTATGAATATATGTATAATAAAAATTTAAATTCAAAAATTTAGAACTACAAACATATTGAATATACATTAAAATGCCAACAGGCTATATACGAAAATAATAATTTAAATAAATACGAGGTTAGCATAATAAAAGCTACAAATAAAAAAAGAAAACAAAGGAAAACATCAAACACACAATGTTTATTAAATGAAAATAAATTGGAAATAAATGAATCAGAGAATGGTTTTATCAATTTATTAAACGAAAATGAAATAATTGCTGAAGACAAATTTAAAAAATATATTTCCCAGCTAGTTTTGTTAGCTGATAAAAAACCGCAGAAAGAAAAAATTCCTTCATGGTATATTCTTCGAAATGAAGATGCCCAAAATAAAGGGAAAGGTAAACTGATTGAATTGGACGACGAAATGGAAGATAATAATAATACAAATAATAACGGGAATGATGGAAGTTATAATAATTATGAAAGACTTTCGGAAATTTTTCGTAATACTCATGGAATTAAAAATTCAGGTGAATATTTCAGCTATCTTTTAAAATTAATTTAAAATAATCGACAAGCCCGTCATTCAAAGGGGCTCGTCGAGCTGAGTTAAATGACATTAAAATTTTATGGGCTCGAAATGGTCAAAAACTACGCTTTATTAAAGTTAAAGAAACCCGAACACTTATAAGTCTAACATCTATCGGTTTGTCTTAGGTTGTTTTTTTGTTGCCGAACGCCAAGTTCTCGTAAGAACATTTTAAAAGTGTGAACCCTTAACTGAAAAGTACCATATTTTCTGATAATTTTCTTAAATTAAGGCAAAGATGAAAATCTCATGATGGCTCCATTAAAATTTAGTGAAAATGATCATGAATCTGAAGAAGTTCCGCCAGGTTTTATTAATAGAAATAAAGCTGCTCAAAGCAAGGGAAAAGGTAAAATTATCGAGAAAAGTGAACGTTTCAAAACCTATGTGGAGGATATGAAGAATTTTCGCAAAATTTTTGGAATTAAGCATTCAAACGAATATATAGGCAAGTTATATAATTTATTTGAAATTATATAGGAATTGACAAAATATTAAATAGGATCAATAAGGATGACAAGAAAATCGAGTAAAATATGATAACCCGATCTGAGTTGATCTTTCAGGCGAGATTATGTGATAATTTTCCTGTCATTTAAAATTTTTATCACAATTTTCTGTGAAACATGCAATTCACGGGTTTAAGTTTCTATTTATAATATCTAGCCCTCCTCCAATAGATCATAGCCCAGCTGATCAGTCTTCGTTATTGATAAAAAAACTTGGTAAAGCGTATAGTTAGGGCCTGGCCAGCATACTTTCTTTTTATTTAAAAAATAAATTATAATTTAAAATTATTAATAGAAGATGCAGTACTTCAATTTCTTCCAAATAAGGATCAAAAATCTATTTCACTCCTTGGGAAACATAAACGTGATGAAGGTTATACAGATAAAAATTTTTTATTAAAAATTAAATTTAACAGACTATGAATAATAAAGGAACATTTCGAGAGGTACAAGAGGATGTCAGTTAAGAAATAATTTTGTCTTATTTTGAAAGATTTTTTTAAAGAAATTTAAAAACTTCGTAATTTAAAATTATTAATTTTTAAAAGGAATGTTAAACTTTTTTTTAATTTCCTTACATTTTTTGTAATGTATTCAGTAAAATTAATAAACTTTTAGCATGAACGTACACTAAGTTAAAGACTTTCGGTTAACCTTCTATCAAAATCATGATTATTAACATTATATTAATTATTATTATGTATTAATTAATAATTATTATTATTAATAATTGACATTATTATTAACATAATTATTATCAAATCATTAGCAAAATCATCATAATACCCAGTTAAGTTTATTCAGTAATTCAAACGTTTAGTTGATTAAATAAAATCAACTATATGAAATATTAGTACTTCAGGGAGATAGGGAGATCCCCTTGATCATATTTGATTTATTAAACGAGCCCTCGGTAGACCAGGCAGTAGCTCAGATGGTAGAATACTGTAACTGCTATAAGTAGAAGATACTTGCCTAGGGTCAAGCTTTTAAAGTACGTAATTCAACTTTTAAAGTCCAATCATTAGTTTAATACAAATTAACATTTAAAAAATTGATAATATTTATATTGGGAATCTGATTTTAAAAATATAGTGAATAAAATTTTTAAATTTAAACTATATATAAATTTATTTATAAAATAAATTTTAAATATAAAGAATAAAATTATAAGGATAAATTTTGTATAAATTATAAATAATAAACGTTAAATGAATTTTTAGTTATGTGGTAGGACAAGAGTATCCGAAATTTTGGTCACCAAAAAGTTGATAAATCAGCTAGCTTTTTATTTTTTGGCTACATAATTCTGCATACAACATTGTGAAATTTTATCATTGTGATATTCATTAGAATTAAATGAAATAATCCAAGGCATTACCCAAGAAAAATGACCATAGATTCAGAAAAATATACATAATTTGATATGTTTTTGGTGGCCCTAATTTCACAAAAAAACTTTTGAAATTAACGGACAGAGAAAACATTGAATTTGAATATACAATCTGTTCCACATTTTAAAAATGAGCGCCTCACTTTGAAAATGAATAAACGGCATTGCTTCAAGTCTGTACCTATGAATGGAGCTCATCTTCAATAAATATTATTATAGTAGCGAATATCTTTAGGATTGAATGAGATTTCGATTTACTCGTAGTCGAACTAGGCTAAAAAGTTGAACTCGTACTCGAACTCGATTTTCCCCCCAATTACTCGGTACTCGACTTACCCAGCCTTTTTCCCAGCTTTGCTATGTTTTGATAGGTCTAGCCGCTTTACTATAGTAAAATTAAAACTTACTTAATGTGTAGTCGAATCATCCTCTTGCATTTGTTGGTGAGGAGAAAAAATTGAATCTGTTTAGTGTAATTATTGTCAAGATTTTAAAGCTTTAATCTGAATAAAATTAAATCTGAGGGCGCAAAAATTGTGAGCATATGACTTTAGGCTCATATGTTTTAGAAAATATAAGGGAATTCGCGAATATTTTTGACGAAAAACGTTCGTTCAAAAGTTCGAGATTTATGATGTTATTCATATTTAATGCTTACCTAGATTTAGAGGTTCATCATCATTCCAGAAGTATTTCGAATAATCATCCATCTTTTCAACAGCTTCTAAGCTAGGTTTAACATTAACATTTGTAACCGATTCATTGTCAGATAGAAACAAGCTTGCTCCATTCACAGCACTGTTGGAACTGCTTTTATCAGCGAAATAATTATGAGATTGAACTGTACTATCTCCGTTGCTCATTTGAGCTAAAGAAACTGATTTTAAATAGAAAATTAGTCTGTAGCATTAAAAAACGAGGTGTAGAACTGTAGATGACATAAACGAGAGATGAGGGAAATGTGGATTTGTAGTAAGTGAAGCCTATAATCAATGATAGGTCTGCAACTGGAGGTAGCCGGAGACGAGATTTTTAAATTTCTGAAGGCAATAATTGAATAAGGTCGGATGTCAGTAAGGTCGGATGCTCGATCCCTCTTTGTTAGATTTACTTTCGTTGAACTAATAATATAATGTTTAATCAAAACTTGCTTGGTAAACCTCCTTCAGCGTTTTCTCCATTAACTTCTGGCAATACATTATCAACTCTAATAGCATTCATACTAGTTTCTTTGCCAGATCCCAAAAAACTAGAGCTACTCCCATCATTGTTGCCCACAAATTGGCTTTCAAGGATGGAATAATTATGACGTAATTCCTGAGGATTATTTGTTTGATTAGAGTTATGAATTATGTTGCTTATCAATCTAGTTTTTTTGTTGGGATGAGATTTTTTGCCTGCCTGAACCTTTCGTTTTTTTCCAACTTTTGAGCCTATATTTTTACTGCCAAATTTAAGACAGAAATTTCTATTCTTGTTTCCTTCAGAAAACATTTCAAAGCATCTTTCTGCCATCCTTTCAGTGATAACATTTATATCGAATTCATAATTAACTTCATCGGCAGCAGCAGATGCTTTAGGTGTTTGTTTTTTTCTTTTGGCTTCATCATATTTAACACGGAGAAGTTTGATAATTTTATTTGACTTATAATCTACATTGGGATCTAAAATTTATTTTAAATATTATTATCAAAACATAAATGAGTATTTACAGTAGTAATAAAGAATTGTCATACCTTGTAGTGGATGGTGAATAATTATTGCGTTATTCCAATCTGTTGTAAAATTAGGATATAAGATTAAACTTAAAATATTCCCCCTTCCTATGAGGGAAAGGAAAGGGTCGTGCTGTTACTCTGTTGGTCCTAGGGCCTCTGTTGGTGTCTCTCAGTTGGTCCTAGGGCATCTGATGGTGTCTCTCTGTTGGTCCTAGGGCATCTGTTGGTGTCTCTCAGTTGGTCCTAGGGCATCTGTTGGTGTCCTATGTTGGTCCTAGGGCATCTGTCGGTCTGTCTCTGATGGTCCTAGGGCATCTGTTGGTGTCCTATGTTGGTCCTAGGGCCTCTGATGGTGTCTTTCTGTTGGTACTTTGGCGAGCGCCGATTCTTATTTATATCCTTTTCACCCCTTATGGTCCCTGGAATGTCGAGATATCATGAAAAATATGTCTATTATGGGACACGATATTCACAAAATTTTTTAAATAAATTTTATACCTCCTTTGTTATGATCAAAAAGTTGATCAATTTTATTTTCTTTATTGTTCTGAGAATCTACAGGCTGTTCTGCTTGGGAAAGTTTTCCTCCCTTCCTTGCTGTACCATAATTGTTTAATAATATGCATGAAGGGGTTCCTGTAGTATTTGCAAAATCTAATTCGTACAAATTAACTCCCTTTTCATAAATAGCCGTGGTGCATGTTAAATCCTTCTTTTCAGGTGTGGATTTGTTATCTTTCATCTATAAAAAATTAATAGAATGATGTAAATGTAAAGTTAACGGATTTAACAACGATTCAATTTTCGGATATCGGAAGTGGTAAATGAACTTTTCCAGAAATTAGATTGGCAAATAACTAGTATCATATACATATTCAATCAGGTTCTGGATGGAAATCTTTTCTATACATTAGGAATCATGCTTACAGACAGTGCTGAATATTTGCCATTTATTGGCTACGGCTCCGGGCTCCGAGCTTTCAAAATCTTGGCTCCGGCTCCGAGCTTTCAAAATCTTGGCTCAGGCTCCGGGTTAATCAAAATCTTAGCTATGGCTCCGGCTCCGCAGGAGCTGGCTCCGGAACTAGCTCCCGAGCCATACCCAGCACTGCTTACAGACTAGAAACTTGCAGAAATTTTAAATTCAAAAATGTATTTCTATTTTTCATCCTTCACTATTAGAAAGCAAGGATCTGTTAGAGCAAAGTTATTTAAATTTACAAAACGTTCCATGTGTAGAGTGTATAAATTGTTAGGGCATATTTTGATTCTCACACATTCTGATTTATACTTTTTTCTTGAATTCGGGGTATCTTTTTCATCTGTGGTGAATTTATTCAATTCAAAAATGGGCCGTTCATCTTTGCATCCAATTTTAATTTTCTTTAGTTTGAGTGAACGTGTTTCCCAAAAAAATTGTAAAAATCGCAAAGGATTTTTAAATAAATTTATAATTTCATCAAAATCTTCTTCTTGACTCTTTTTGACTATTTTATAATTTGCTTTGTTTTGATAAAGAACAACATAAACTATTGAATCTTTTTCTACATTAATAGGCTCAATTATCTAAAAAAAATTTTTTTACATAAAAAAATCTTGGGTAATAGTTTGGAATTCACCTCCCCCCCTTTTTTTTCACGTTTCCCTGCCCATTTTGAGCTTTTTTTGAATGATATATAGTTTATTATATATCATTCGAAACAGCTCTTCGAGCTTGGTCGAATGATATCAAGTTTGGCTTGATCTGATGATTCGTATCAAAATTATGAATCCTCGTTAGGAAAACTTTTTGTGCCAATGCAAGTGAATAATATAAACGGTCACAACTTTGTATCATTCGACTCAGTTCGAAGAGCTCTTTCGAATGATATATAATTTGTCATAAAATGAGAAGAAACTAGGAAAAAATAGAATGGAAAAAAGCGGGACGTATTTCAAACTATTACCTAATCTGGTATAGAAAAATCGAGTCGAGTTTCAAGTCTGATTTTCAAAATCAGTTTTGGACAGGATTTGGGTTGAAATCCTGCCTATACTCTAACCAATCATCCCCTAAACTTTTCCATTTAGGGGTGGTTAGCTTTACACAAAGCTAACCAAATTCAGTTTCAAGATCTGTACGCATTAAGTATCCTGTTTGGAATACTTATGGGGTTTTATAAACTTTAATTTAAATGCCATAAATGTAACTAACATTGTATCCATTAACAGAAATTTCCAGACTATATTTACAGACTTTATCCTCTATAATATTATCAAATTCTTTAAAATGGTAGTTATCATATCCGTCTGTTTTTTCAAGAAATTCTCGAGAACCTTCCGGATGGCCAACTAAAGTTTCTGTTAATTTCAAGTCGAAACGTTCCTTTGTTTCATCCGTCAAGTGATGCGGATATTCAAATTTATTTTCTTTAATTTCCCGCCATGATATCTTGACAAATATTGACAATGTTTCAGAGGTTTCATAAAAGGTGTTTAAAACAATAAATAATAAAAATAACCACATTTTTCTGAAAAAATATTTTTTATTTAAAATTTTATGTTATAGAGATTGTGGTAAGGAAAATTTTCTAAGATAATGATTTTGAATGAAGCTTTTTTTACAACAAAACTCTTAATTATGTTGAAAAAGTCATTACAACATTAAAATCTTTTTGCGAGTTATAATATTTTTAAATTAATTTAAATAAATTATTAAAAGGGCAAGCTAGCGCGAGCGTAAGTGTATGTCGATAAAACGCATGCCTCTCCTATGCATTGTCGATTTTAAATAAAGAGGCACTCATTATTTTTCTCTCTCTCTCTCCCTATAGGCAGATAGAAAAAATTGATTTTTAAAATAAAAAATCAGGGAAGAGAGGGGAGGGGGAGTGTGGAGGCAGAGGAAAAAGGCATGATCAAGGGCACTATAGCTAGACTAGGATTTTTCAAATGCGAGAATTAAAAGCGGCAGTAATGCCTGTTATTTGGGCCTGTAAATAATTTCCGTTATTAAGAGAGTAAATCCGGAGAGGTTGTCAAAAATCGAAAGAAAGGGGTCCAAAAAGCGGAATTCGCAGAAGTTTAACGGCGAAAGACATCTAATTCTTACATTATTATGTATTCTGGTATCCTAGCTCCCCACATACCGAATTTTTTTTAAGCTATAGAAATGGTCATTAAGTCCGAGAGCATTTCGACCTGTATTGAATGACACTAGAAACTATCCGTGGCGATATACACTGACTTTTGAGCTGAGTTACAGTGATTCAAAGAAGTATATGAATCTAAGCATAAACTATTTTTATAATTTTACCCCAATTATAAAAATATAATATCAAACTTCCTCTGGATTCACACAATAGACTAGGGCTTAAATTTTTATAAAAGGTTCATTCTTGAAAACTAAACTGATAATGCTATTAAACTGACAAAAAGCTTTCATAATAACACTTAATTAATAAAACTTTCATCACCGCTAAACTTTTAAATTCCTTAAAAGGGCATTCGCAACATTTATTTTAAAAAATTTTATTGAAAAATATTCTTTATTTAAGGTGAATGAAAGGGCAAATTAACGAGAGGGAGAGTCTTGCGCATGTATAAAGCACTCTCCTCATTCATTAACGATTTCAAAAGAAAGACACTCTTATGATTTTTCTCTCTTCTTTTTTTTTCTCTCTCTCTCTCTCTCTCTCTCTCTCCCTCTCTCGTAATAGTCAGAGTGTCGCAATAGGCGAGAGTGAAATCGATTTTCAAAATTTAATAATTAGGGATGAGGTGGGAGGGAGAGATAGGCATGATGGATAGCATTATAGATTTATATATTTTAACAGACTGAAATTAAAATTAGGTTGTTTATTTCAACTGGCAATTGAAAGTTAAAAAATCAAAACAAGAGCCAAACATTATTTTTAAAATCCGACTCCCTTGAACAAGGGAATAATGAATGCTAAAGCCGTTGATTTTATAACTCTCAAAATACTATATATAATATACAAGGCATTAACAAACTGAATATATTTCATAATAAATAAAATTATAAATAACTTAATGATTATAATTTTACAAACTTTTTGAAATTAATAGGAAGAAAAATCTTTAAATTTTAATATACTTTTTTGGAAAAAAACTTTTTTTGGTAACTTCAAAAATTAACGTCTTTTTGCTAATGATTAAACAGCATTGTTTTTATGTTTGTACCTGTAAATAGGAAATTATTAAATTTGTATAAAGCTCCTAAGCAGTGATAAGCTATCTTCCGCTTGCGTCTTCCCTTTTGTTAACTTGATAGAAAGGAAAAGTCTTAGAAGGAAAAGTCCTTCCTATCAAGGAAAAGCCCTTCCTACTACTACCCATCCCTTAATATAATTAAAAGCTCTATCCCTGCACAAAATTAAAACTCACTCTCAATGTGAAGAATTCGATGTTTGGGGAGTGGATTTGATTGGATCTTTTGAGAGGGATTAAAAATAGCAAATATAAAGGTTTTAAATGTGTTAAATATTATTTTGAGAAATATTATAATTTCATGGTTTAATTTATTTTTGTCAAGAATTTTTAAATTTGTTAGTTCAACGAAATTATGAATCTATTTCATGAGGGAATTTCAAAATGTCAAAAATGCTCAATATTATTCACGTTTAATTCTTACTCATATCTTGAGGTTCCTCATCATTCAATAGGAAATTCAAATCTTCTTCCGTCAGTCCATCATCTTCATTTGTAATTAAATCATTGTGAGATACTAACGAATTAGCTCCAATGTCAATGTTGTTGTCATTAAATTGGCTTTCGCCAATGAAATAATCAGGAGCTTTAACAGAAGTATCACTGTTAATCGCTTGAGCTAAATATAAAAAATTTAAAAGTTTTTTTATTTTTTTCTGCAGAATTTAAAAGGCGAATGTCAGAGATATAGAAAGAATAAGAAACTAATTTATTGCTAAGTATAAGATCTCTCTGCAGATCATCTTGGAATGAGTAAGTAAAGATTAGCACGTAATTCTTGAACGAGGGGAATCATTGTCATCATCGTTATTCTATTACTTAAGTTAAAATATTATTAATCATTGTGAGATACTAGCGCAATTAATCGAAACTTGCCCATAAAATTAGCATGTTCGTCATGACTATCCTCTAAGCTATTTAGCAATGTGAAAAATTCTTCGTCATCATCGATATTCAAACCATGAATACTTCCAGAAACAGTTTCAGGATGTTTGTCTCTTAAATCTACTTGTTTTCCTTATCTTTGATGTCCAGGAAATACAGTTCCTAGTTCGCTAGGCTTGTTTGTATGATTAGAATTATGAGCTGAGTTAATTATAACTTTACTATTTTTGTTTGGATTCGATTCGTCTTTTCCCTGCAAGATTTGAAATTTACTCAGAACTATTTGAAAAAATATATATTAAGTAACCTTTCGTTTATTTCCAACTTTTGATGTAATAATTTTAGTCCCATATTTAAGAAAGAAATCGATATCAATGTTTTCTTCGGACAATATTTTAATGTATGTTTCCGCCATCCTGTCCGTGATAACATTCATATCGAATTCATAATTAACTTCATCTGCTAAAGCGGATGCCATTGGTATTTGTTTTTTTCTTTTTTCATCATCATATTTAGCAAGGAAAATTTTTCGAATTTTATATTGTTTATTTTCACCAATGGGATCTAATAAATATTTTAATGTATTTATTAATACTGTGTAGTTGAAAATTACAGATGGGAGCTGATTCAAATTTAAAAGACCTTGTTTTCGAGATTGAGTTTGAATAAAAGGGTTTCTGAGGAATTTTCAAAAAGTCATTCATTTTCAAAAATCTTAGGGTTTTAAAATTTTACAAAAACCGTTAATTTTTTTAGAAATATCCAAATTTCTCTAGCAATTAATAATTAATTTCATACTTTTTTTCAAACTTGTGATAACTTTTGCACTATTCCAATCTGAAAAAATTATAAAATAAGATTTAACCAGAAGATTTCTTCAGAAAAAAATTTTATTAGCCAAATGGAGCTGGATAAGGTTCGATTTAGCTCTTCCAATTGCAGTATCAACAGTATTATCCATCATGGTCTTTGAATCGCACTTACGAAAATTTCGAAGTTCGTGTCCTGGGTTTAAAAAGTCCATGTTTATTCTATAAGGTTTCGGGTAAACCGTCTATCAATACTATTCATGCAACTTGACAGCCTCGTGAAATTAAGTTTAATGAAAGCATAGCAATTAAAAATATACCATCTTTTTATGAAGAAAAATATGTCTAATGATGGATAAAACGGTTTTCAACGTTCACAAAATTATTTAAATAAATTTTATACCTCCTCTGTTTTGATCAAAAATTTGT